GGGAGCAGGAGCAGGCGGGCCGGTGAGCGCCCAGCTCTCCGCAGAGGTGAGCGGGCAGCGGGAGCGACGGGCGGCTGCGACTCGGTTCCCAGCGCCAAAGCCACCACTCACTTCTTCCTCCTCCCCCGTGACAGCTGAGGACAGCAGGATCGGACTCTGGCGTCCATCTGAGAGGAGATGGATGCTTCTCTGGCTTCTGAGCCCCTTGGGGGATACTCAGAAAGTTAGCCTGTGGTCTTGCCTTTCCCCCGTAAGTTACTGGACGTACAGCACCAAAGCTGCACGTTCAGTCCGAAAGACCCTCAGGCTGTATCACGGGGAATTGAGAGGCTGGATTGTGGGGAACACCTTGAAAGGGGGTCTTGTTTTTTTCAGTCCTGAACAGTTTAGAAGATCCAGTGTGATCTTCAGGAGTGCCTCAAAAGAATAACAACTGCCCAGATCTGGACATAGACTTGCTACACTAAGGTTCCACTGACTTGTTTTGACATCTGTGTGAACTTCAGGTGTTAGGATGTGGGTTTGGAATTTTCTGTGTTGTCTTTAATCCTCACAGACATTAAATAACAGCTTGGTAACGCTGGCCAGTGAGCAAAGGTTATCCTTGCCACCACAGCACCTGCAAAAGCACAAGTGTAGCTCACTTATTTTGCTTCCTGAGTTCTAAGATGGCTTCTAAACCCTACAGAGGTACCAGCACATACAAGGAGTAGGATCAGGGACAGAAGGAGAGCTGTGTATTTTTAAAAATAACAGATATTATTATACTAAACTTGTTCTACCTAACCTCTCTCCTGGGCTCCAACTGTATCCATCAAAGAAATATTTTAGTATAGGCCTACTCAAAATTTTATGTACAAACTTGTACTCTTAGCCTCACTCCCCCCAAAAAAACCACAAAAACAACAACAAAAACATCATTTCTTTGGGGGAAGAAGTAAAAAACCACCAATCCTTATCTAACTACACATTATTTATTTTGAGCATTAAGAAGTCCTACATATAACCAATGCTATGAAAGAAATAATTTACCAGGACCTCAAACACATTTAATTGTGTACTTAAAGAGATATTGCCATTTAACATGAAAATATGGAACAGTTTCTGAAATTGATAGGTGAAAAACTCAAAATCCTTCCTGGAAATATTTGGAGATGGGGGCTTACTGGTTTTCTTTATATTTCATCAGCACACCAGTCTCTTAGGAAAAATAAAAACTGATGTATCTTGACCATAATAAAGCAGTACCATATTGGCCAATTTTATCTTAGTTATATGCCTTAGATCTTCAGATTAGTTACATGAAGAGTGAAAGATCACATATAAAGGAAAACTGCCAACAACTTTTAATGTTAAATTTTTAATTTAGAAGTGCAACTAAGTTATCACAACCATAATATAAAACTCCCCACTTCTCTGTTCCTTCTTGGTGTACAGTTTGTA